TCCTCCTGGGAGTCAACACTCCTGCTTAACTTGGTGTCATCTGCCAACTTGCTGATGATACACCCTATGTCCTTATCGAGATCATCAATAAAGACGTTAAATAGAAATGGTCCTAGCACTGAGCCCTGAGGCACACCACTAGTGACCGGCCGCCAGCTGGATTTGAATCCATTGAGCACCACTCTTTGGGACCTTCCAGTCAGCCAGTGCTTGATCCAGCAGATCACATGCCTTGCAATGATGAATATTGGCTGAGGAGAAGTGTCAGCATCAGGTCCTGTCTTATTAACGGAAAAAGTGAGAGTCTTCAAGGCAAACGGGGAACTCGGGAGCAGAGCTGAGCTGCAGAATTAGACCCTGATCCCACTGAAGTCAGGGCTCTGTCCATCCACAGCCTCAAACCCACCAGCCCATGGACTTTGTGTCATCTGAGCGACACAAAACGGGAGTGAGCGTTGCACAGGAACCCAAATTAACAACCAAAAAGAAAGCAACAGTGGGTGAAGGATGAAAAATGCTGGAGATCCACAGCCCCATAATGAATCCCACGGCGCACATGAGTATGCTGCTGGCAACCAGAAATTATTTTGGAAATGATTAAATTAGAGGAAAGTGACACTAATATCTTGACTGTAGGGACACAGCAAAACAGCCTGTTGTAATATATTTAATAAATGGCAGAGTAAATCTTTTCCTCCAGTATTAAGAAAGAAGGGAAATACAAATTCTCCTTCTCAAAAGTCAGTGACTGGGGGAAGGAAGAAAAATTGTACTAGTTTCCCATCATAAAAATAAATCACAGTGGGAAACAGCTTGCATCTGATTGTGCCATGGCTGTACCTCTGACACGAGCATATTAAAAACACGTAAATATTCTGGTCAAAACTCAGCATCAGACCTATTTCAAACATCTTGCATTCAGTACCACCACTTACAGTGCTGAGGGTCTTAAAAAGGTTTTTTGGAGCTGCCTGAGCTTTGCAATTCTTCAAATAGGAAGTCCAATTAAATTCTCCCTCCTTGAAACCTAGAAAGCGAGATAAAAAGATTGTTTTACGCGGCCCCGTTACATTCAGATTGGTTTTTCAGAAATGGAAATTACCTGGGAAGAATATGAACTTTGCATGATAACTGCCCTTCTGCAGTCTTCAGGGGTTACGCATCTCAGCTAAACCATCTCCCTCCCTCCCTCAGTATAATGTCCAATCATTAATCTGAACCTTCAAATGTTTCTAGGAAATTGAACGCAGGAAAGAAGCAAGTTCTGAAGCTCAAAGAGACTCCTTGTTTTACATGCTCATCCGATAGTTTTTAATTTGACCAAATCAATCCTTGGGAGTATCAAAAGGAAGCTGGTTTGTTCTTTTGTGCTTCACTATCTTAGTTATGTCTCTTCCCTTTAAGCCCCTCAGATTGAGTTCCACAATGAAACTGTATTAAAAACGAAACAAGCAGAGCCAGGACAACTAGTTTCTTAGTAGAATTTATGGGTTTTGTAAACCTTTTTTTTTTTTTCTCCTTACCTTTAGGAGGAAGCAGCTTATGACTCGTTTTTTCACACCAGCGATGAAACCATACTAAAAACGAAACAAGCAGTAGTTTCTTAGTAGAATTTATGGGTTTTGTAAACTTTTTTTTTTCCATACCTTTAGGAGGGAGCAGCTTATGACTCGTTTTTTCACACCAGCCAACAGGATGGATGTCTGAGGAGTCAGCGTTAACCCAGAAGTCGTAGCACTCTGGGTAACCATCAAAGTGTAATCGCATCCTGTATCCTTGTACCTATAATGAGGGGAGCTCTGATTAGCATAAAGGCTCATAAAGAAGTTAAAGAAAAACACTAATCAAACACTCTTTCCATATTTGGATTTATAGATAAAATTGAAGATCTCAGTTAATTTCTCAAAAGTCTAGTTTTATTTTTCCTCATTTACGTCTCCCAGTTTCCACGCTTTTCTTTCCTCACTTCAAACAGTTGAAAATAAAACAGCTCCTTGGGACCTCCCTGCCCTCCTGTTCCACACTCACACACATATCACTGGGCAGCAATATCTGGAGTTCAAACACAGCCCAAAAACTGTTATGTCTATACCAAATTAACACAGAACTCCTTGGGACCTCCCTGCCCTCCTGTTCCACACTCACACACATATCACTGGGCAGCAATATCTGGAGTTCAAACGCAGCCCAAAAACTGTTATGTCCATACCAAATTAACACAGATTTCACATAATCGAAGAAGCATAAAAGCATTTTGACTTGCTTATGTTTACTAAATCTTAGTGCCTAATTGCATTGTTCTTTTTTCACATTTGTTCACTGCATGCTATTAATAGGTTTATTATTCTAAGTTACAATCACAAAAATCTGAGAGTAGGATTTCAGGGATAACCTTAACCACGTGACACTATTCCTTCAGTGTCACCTTGAACTCCTCCTAACCGTTAACTAATTAAAATACTATTATTCTTATGTTCCTACTCTTTATTGAAAAAAACCACCTAAAAGTATGCAGGTATTTTGGAACCAAAGATAGGAAGAGCAACTACCTCAGCCACCGTGAGGACACAGAATCGAGAGGGGTGTTCAGGATCCAGCCCTTCCAATTTCATTCCAACTTTAAATCCATTTCGGCCTTGTGGGAATGACTGATACTGCGAGGAGGGGGAGGAAGGAAACACTTGTTTTGAATTCCAAGAGACAAAATCTATTGCAGAGAAGTCATCAGCTATCCTCGAGTTTTCAACCAGAGAAGAAAATTCTATCACTAAATGATTGCTGCTTTAATCGGCCGGCGAAGGTACAGGGATCAATAATGGCCTCATCACATATTTCACAATTACTTGTTAATCTAATGCATCTCTCAAAAACACTGACCCACGAGCCTGTTGCAATTAGCTATGAGCAAATCAGCAAATGCAGAAATGAGGTCTATTCAAAGAGAAAAGAATCCCCTTCATAGCCCAGTGCAGGAGGGCTGGCAGAAAGAAAGAGCTGGGAAATGAAAATCACTTTCCCTGTGTCAGCACGAGGTCCGTGGTCTGGACTTTCCCAAAAGGTGACTTCTCAGCTTCAAAGGGTAAAAGGGACAAGGCATGTTTGATCTGGAGTCCTTTTACACAGTCATTCCAGAAAACATTTGTGCCTTTTCATTTATTTGCAGTCTTAATCCAAGCTAAGCATTTGAAGTATAGCACAGGCTTCAAAGAAATCTGGACTGGAACTGCAAATGGTTTATTCCATCCACTGCAGTTACCTCATTTCCCTCCTGTCTCACTCTGTGAGGTGCCAACCACCTCTGGCTTTGAAGAGCTCACTGGGAGTGGAACTTTTAATGTGGGCTGATGGTCTGGAGGGCAGAAACAGCTTCATCAAGGCCAAACCCATCCTCTTCCACCACCAACACACCATGAACACAACTTCCACCCTCCCTTGTAACAGTCACGTCTCAGTGAGATGCTCCACAGCATTCACAGAGCAAACTGACTTGCAGATTTCTTCAGAGGGAGGATGGAAGGGGTGCTCTACGACCATGGGACATATGAAAGACATTAGGCTGTCCCTCTCCAGCACTACTGGGAGATTGCCTCACAGCCCATTTATCCAGAGTTATCCAAAACAGACCAAAACAGTCACTGTTTATTTCTGAGTGAGACTCAAGCAGCATTTTTTACAGCCTTGGTTTGGGCTGAGACTCACAGGGCAGACGCTTGTTTCCACAGTGCTTCAGGGCTGGAAACAAACATGTGGGGGTTTTTACTGCCTGCTTGCACCGAAACAACTCAGAAATGTAACTGCTGGCTGGAGGGTAGGCTCCAATCCTCCCCTGAGTTAGTAATTCTGTGATGCTGCCTGAGAAAAACATAGCAAGAGAGCTGAGAAAGCTGCCAACCTCTCTGAACAGTTTTAGGGGAGCAGCTGGCATCCGTTCCTCTTCTAAGTAGGAAACCCAGTTCCATCCCTTCTTCTTTCCAGGAACAGCTAAGCAATCAAAAACAAAGAGAAAAAATGAATGTTTCTCTCGGATGCCTCTGGCTCTGCCCTCTCTTCTCTTTCTCCTCCCACGTACAGGCCAAGGCTGTTTTGGTGCTGTACCCCAAGGGAGGCAGTGTCACCCAGGTTTTGAGGAAAGGGAGGAATTCCAGCAGTAGGAAAACCAGGCTCATTTCCCATTAAAAGAAATATAAATTTATGATATCGTAGGTCAAATGAATAGTGGCACCTGGATTGCCGGCAAACTGCCCGTGGAAAGCTGCCACTCTAAAGTTTGGACAAGATACAGTAACTTAAAATTGTGGAAAAGAATTCCTTCTCCTGATATTTCACAGAGGAATAAGGGGTTAGATATCAACTAAAAGACAGCACAAAGAGGCATATAATTGCAGCTGAAATAAACCTAAAACAAAACAAATGAAAAATCAAGTGAATTTCTGTTCAGTTCACAAGATTTTTATATATATATATATATATTTATATATACACAACCCTATATTTATAACCTGCTAATACCACAATGCAGCTACCAGTGCACAGATGATGAGAACACCTTGGGCAGGTGCTTGGATTCCTTCTAGTAGGACCATGATCATACACACAGAAAATTACGTTTAAATGCATATTAAAAAATCTCCCCCAGTTTCCATACACTAACTCCTTTGCGCTATGGAGTAAATTTAACCCATAGTCTATAATCAATCACATGTTGTTTACAACTTATTTTCTATTTAGCATTTGTAGTCTTGTGGCTATGGAGCTCTCCAAAGTCAATGGAAAAAAGATTGTTACTGGCTTTGGGGAGCTTTGGATCAAGCTGTCTCCTTCCAGATCCTCTCACTGTGCCCATCACGCGGGCAGATCTCCTCTATTCTTGCTAATACACTTCAGCAGACTGACTGTGGTAAGAGGGTTATGGACCTAATAAGCTATTCTGAATGTGAAATGAGCTCTACTGTCCTTTCCTCTTCTGTTTACTATTATTCACTTTATAATAGCTAGTAAAAAAAAAATCTATAAACATTAAAGAAAAGAGACTATGAGCTTAGCTCACCTTGTTTTATTGGTTTAGTGTTTCTGCGGCTTTTCATATTATTTGATTTATTCTTCTCCTAGACACAGATACGTTAAAAAAAAGTTTAGCAATATTGTTTTTTTTCCCTCCCTCCTTGATCATCTCACAATGCAGGTACAATCAGGACGTAACATGTGACTAAGAGCACTAGCATTATTTTATCTTGAATAACCCTGCAAGAACATTAGTAGGGTACGTTACATCTATAACTTCGATCCTGCAGCATCCCAAAGTGCTTTCCAAATTATTTAACATATGCTACTGAAAGTTCATTTCAATATGGCTACTGAGGAGCAGCAGAGGCCCAAAATCTCCATTACAATCCCCAGGATTTGCTTTCTGCAATGCAGGATTTACTGCTCACGTAAGCAGCCTTCCTGCAACGCTCTGCTTTCCTTTCAGAGGTTCTTACGTCCATCTCTGTCAGGGAAGGGATACAGCAAAAAAATCTCTTCTGAAGCCCCGAAGGAAGCAGAAGCTTCAAGGAACTACTGTCATAGATGAACACCCCAGAAAAGGTGGTCTCCCCGTGTCACACACACGCCGAGCCAGACTGCACCCACAGTCCTTCGATCTGCTTTGCAAACTCATGTTTAATTCACCCCGGGTTGTCATTTCTCAAAGCAAACCAAAAAAAAAGGGCAAAATCTGAAATGCAAAGCTGCCTGCCAAACGTGGCCCAGATGAGAGAGGGGGCCAGTTTCCAACCAGGAGGAGGAGAAGGGGGATGAGAGAGAATGCAAGCACTTCTGAAAACGTAGGGACTTTAAAACATCTCACACGAGCAACACGAGGAGTTAAAACTTCACGGCATCGGAAGCCTCTTGCATTCCCAACACCTTTACACGAGCAACACGAGGAGTTAAAACTGTTCGTGGCATCGGAAGCCTCTTGCATTCCCAACACCTCCTGCCCCAGCCTCTCTGCACCACAAAAGCATGTGCAATTTGTGAATTTAACTAAAATTCAGGCCTGAGATACTACACACCCAGGCTTGGGCAGAGAAGGGCCCCTGAAAGGAGGAAGATGCTTAATGCTGAGTGAAGGGAAGCTCAGGTGAGGACTGAGGCACCTCTGTTCACCCACCATTAACACTGGTTTCTGGCAGCGCAGATGCAAGTACCTAATAAAAAGCAATCAAACCCTGGGGTTTGACACTGCTCTTCGATACCGCAGAGCAGCACTTGACTGGAGTTGGATCAAGTATTTTTAGAGGCAGGTGTTTTTATGACTGTGAAATACACTCGGTGCACGGGGCTGGAACTCCACCTGGGAAGTTAAAGTGGGAAATTCTAGTTTTGACACCCCACGAGCTGCTCACCCTCAGGACTCCTCAGGCTTCACCACAGATACTCTCATTGCTGCTACAAATCAGGACCAGACCCGTTCTCCTGAGTACAGAACAACACCCCCTCCTCAGCTCCGTTTGCATCGCACAATGAAAGGTGAGATGCAGAATGTCCCTTCTCTTCACAGCTCTCTTTAAAGAAAATACAGACTCCTCAGGCTTCACCACAGATACTCTCATTGCTGCTACAAATCAGGACCAGACCCGTTCTCCTGAGTACAGAACAACACCCCCTCCTCAGCTCCGTTTGCATCGCACAATGAAAGGTGAGATGCAGAATGTCCCTTCTCTTCACAGCTCTCTTTAAAGAAAATACAGGCAACCTCATTTACCTCATCCTCATCTGCATTTTCCTCATCATCCTCAGACTCCAGAAGCAGTCTTCTCTTCCTCCTGAGACGTTTCACGGGTCTGTCAGCCTCATTCACCTGACAGCCACTGCTGGTATTAAGATTTCTACTATTTCCCCTGTTTCTGCAATCATCTGGAATGTTTCTGGTATCACTAAACATCCAAAATTGAAAACAAAAAGCAAATTAAAAGCGCAACAACACTCCTGCAGCATTCCCAGTGTCTCTGTACCTCTTCAGAATGAGGATGCCTGGGCTGAGAACCTAAAGAAGTGGAACATGTTTGCAGGATTTGCCAGATTTATCACAGAATGACATGGGGTCCGAAGGGACCTCTGGAGATCATCCAGTCCAACCCCCTGCCAAAGCAGATCCACCCAGAGCAGGTCACACAGGAATGTGTCCAGGCGGGGTTTGAATGTCTCCAGAGATGGAGACTCCAAGATATATATCTTTTAAATATCAATATCTTTTAAATATCAAAAGATATCTATCTTTTAAAAGCACTCCAAAGTACCAGCACAGCTCTCCCCACCGGAGCAGCTCGAGAGGGTTTTCAATTTTGCCTTTTTACAACTCTACAGGAAGTTAAAACATCATCTTTATCCGTAGGATGGAGGTCAACCAGCATTTCCTTAGGCTGGGAGGAGAAATGAGGATGGAGCTCTGAGTGGAGCCTTCCTCTGTGGGCACAGGAGCCTCAAGGGTGACAGGAAGGCCCCTGGCAGAGCTCGATGGTGGCCCAGCCACGGTATCACTCGCTCTGAGGATTTCATTCTACTCACATCAACACGTGGCTCTAACCCTGTGTTCCCTTTAAACATTTTCTAACACAGACCAGGAAGAATCTGGGGTTTCTTTACCTGTCCCTGTGCTGCTGGGAGCCTGTTTGAGTATAAAACTTTCCATTCTCAGAGCAATCCATTTGCTCAAAGGTTTGGAAAACGCAGCAGGGGAGATCGTCTCTGAGGGCTGTGGAAGCAAAGAGAAAGACAACTGTTAAATTCAAATGCTGAAACTTTGTATTTTTAAACACCTTGCATGCAATTAGTTCTGCCCAAGTCCTTTACAAACTTTCATTAAGTGACCCTCAATATCCCAGTGTGAGGGAAGTAATTATTAACTGTGTGCTGGTACATAGAAAAAGTACCATCTCATTACAGGAAAAAACCCACCCTTTTATCTATAATATTTTAATTTTGGATAAACCCTGCCCCCTGTAAAAGTGACAAAGGAGGATATAATCTCTAGGCTATAACCAGGACAGAGTTACAAATCTTTTTCTATTTCTTTATTCCTAGTAACCCTCTAACTGGAAAGACAAATGTCAAACAAGTCCATCTCATTTGGATACTTTTAATACTGTTGGTTAAGTTTAAATTAAACTTCAGCCTTTATATATACTTCATACATACAAAAATCCTCCATAGGCAGCCTCTAAAAGTAGCACATTATTGATGGGAGAGCAGAAACAATTATTTCTACATCTAGCAAGGGATGTATATCAATCTTTCATTTGAATGAAAAGCATGAAAATGTAAGGAATAACTCCAATATATAATTTATGTTTACTTTCTCCTATGATTTGCGTTCTTCCTAGTGCAAATTACTTCCTGTTTAATATTTTAACAGAACACAATTGGGGTGGTCCTCGTTGCCAGGGATCTAAATTATCCTGATGCACGCTTTGCTCAAGTGACCTGTCGTGCAAATTGTGCAAGGGGCCTCCCCCATATACATCACTCCTGTTCTGCATTTAGTGGCGCCGTTTGTGTACACTGGTTTGATCAAACAATTTTTGGAATGCACTGCTAAACACCTCAAAAGAAAAACCAGAACCCCCCCCCCCCACATCACACAGTCCGCAACGTTGAGGTATGAGTCACTTTGCTTTTTGTGTCGAGCCATTTTCACAGTCTCCTCAGCAGCTTGTTCTCATTCTGCTAAGACGACCTGATATTTTTCATGTGCATTTGACTGTTCCCTATAGCCCAGTCGGGATGTCTGATGGCCCTGGCTGGAACTGGGCAGAGAGTCTTCTCTACAAGCACACGTGCCTGCTCGTATCACAACTTCAATCCTCTCCCTGTGCCAACAGGGACCAATGATTCATAGAATCATAGAATGGTCTAGGTTGGAAGAGACCCTTGGGATCATCGAGTCCAACCATCTCCCCTACTCTACAAAGTCCTCCCCTACACCATGTCCCTCAGCACTGCATCTAAACGGCCCTTAAACACAGCCAGGGATGGGGACTCCACCCCCTCCCTGGGCAGCCTGTTCCAATGCCCGACCACTCTTTGGGTGAAAAATTCTTTCCTAATGTTCAATCTAAACCCACCCTGTTGGAGCTTGAAGCCGTTCCCTCTCGTTCTGTCACTAATTACCTGGGAGAAGAGACCAGCACCAACCTCTCTACAGTGTCCTTTCACGTAGTTGTAGAGAGTGATGAGGTCTCCCCTCAGCCTCCTCTTCCTCACACTAAACAGCCCCAACTCCCTCAGCCACTCCTCATACGATTTGTTTTCCAGCCCCCTCACTAGTTTCGTTGCCCTCCTCTGCACTCACTCCAGCACCTCCAGATCTCTCTTGTGTTGAGGTGCCCAAAACTGGACACAATACTCCAGGTGTGGCCTCACCAGTGCTGAGTACAGGGGCACAATCACCTCCCTACTTCTGCTGGTCACACTAGAGATTCCAGGCAGAGAAAAGACAAAAGAGGGAAAACTTGCAAGAACCGAGAGCGCTAAAAGAGCTCTGCCCAATTAGAAGTCACACTGATCTATGGAATACATGTGGACTAAACAAGTGTGAAAAATTCTTAGTGCTGAGGTGTCCACGTAAGAGCTGGTTCTTCGCCTGAGGGATTGACATCTCCTCAGCTCACAAAGACGAGGAGAATGACCCACCATCAGCAGGAGCATAAGCGAATGCCTGTAAGTGTAAGTGACTCTGCAGAGCTTACAGTGAAATCTGAGATGAGAAAAGCCAGCAGGAAGACAGGTAGAAAGCATTCCTACCTGAAACCAGAAATAGTTCCATCAAAATCCTAGGGAAAGCCAACTGGGAGAAGCTTGTCCAGGCTGGCAACAGCAGGAGAGATCATTCTCTCCTCAAAAAAGAAGTTGTCCCCATAGGGATGTGTGACTTCAGTGCTGGAGCCCTGCCCTGACTAGAGATCCAGCGTCGCTAACAGACCTGGCACAAAGAGTTAACGTCCTTTTAATTACTCCACTGGGATGTTCTGGTGGTGTCAAAGACAAGGTGGCACCCAACAGGCTCCATCTGCTGCCCCGTGGTGCCTCTGTGTCCCAAGCTAATTCTCAAGTCCCCTGCCACCACCTGAGAAGATCTGTTCCAGTACCAGGTGTCAGACAAACCTACCAAGGGCTCCCTGTGCCACAGCCACACGCTGGCACCTTTAACCAAGAGCATCTTTAAAATATGACCTTGCGCTGGAGACAGCTAATGGTCCTCTAGGGATGAGAGCTCCTAATTGGCATCGCTCCCCAGCGCTGGTCTCCATTAGTACTCTCTGGAAGACACTCAGGCATATCTGGGAGGGAGCTCTACTGAAACAGCGAGGAATTTAATCAAACTAGTGAGGGGCAATGGCTTCAAGCTGGAGGGGAACAGATTTAGACTGGAGATGAGGAGGGGGTTCTTTACTGTGAGGGTGGTGGAGCACTGGAACAGGTTGCCCAGGGAGGTGGTTGAGGCCCCTTCCCTGGAGATATTCAAGGTGAGGCTCGATGAGGCCCTGGGCAACCTGGTCTAGTTGGGGGTGTCCCTGCTGACTGCGGGGGGGTCGGACTAGATGGCCTTTGGAGGTCCCTTCCGGCCTGGACAATTCTATGATTCTATGATTCTATGATTTACCAACCACAGTGAGGCTGCCCAGCTTAACTGAGTGGTGTGGAACGGAAGAGCTCAGTGGTGAACATACACATATTTTGGTTTGAGCTACTGGTTTCTTGGTAAACAGAGTAAGAACAGGGCTGCAAAGAACAGAGATATTTCTTCTCCATTACACTGACGTGCACGTCCAGTAACATGCACATTATCCTGCTAAAAGAGTTTTTCAATTGGAAACCTCAAAACCTTTATGGCTAATGGTGTAACTCTTGGCACGAGCCAGGTTAGAGGAGCTTCTCAAGGATGGTCTTGCAAAGAGAACACTCCTGGGGATTCGTCCAGGTTGGCACAGCACTGTGCCATCCACTGCAACCAGGGGAAGGAATAACACTGGAGACTCCCGTTGCCCAAGGGCAGCCACTGAGGGCACAGCTATACCAGTAAAGTGTGGTTCCCAGCATGGTTCAGGAGTTGGCATGGAGCTGAGATGCTGCCCAGTGGGAGCGATCACTGTTTTGGAGGCTGAGAGCATTTCATAAGATGTATTTATCAGACCATTCTGGCCTCAAAGCCCCAAACCTGTTTTGGAGGCTGAGAGCGTTTAATAAGATGTATTTGATCAGACCATTCTGGCCTCAAAGCCCCAAACCAGGTTTAATAGAGACACAGACTTAACTGCTGTCACAGAATCACAGAATCTTAGTGGGAGAGACACAGACTTAAATGCTGTCACAGAATCACAGAATCACAGAATCTTAGTGGTTGGAAGGGACCTCCGAGATCATCGAGTCCAACCACAAAAAACAAAACAAAACAAAACAAAACAAAACAAAAAACACAACAAAACCCAATGAAAAAAAAACAACAAAAAAAAACCCCACAACCACCACAAAAACAACAAACCCAAAACCACCACCCACCAACTAAACCCCACACCCACAACCCCACATACTACACCCCACCACAAACCAGTAATCTTGGGCACTAGAGCATGCCCTGAAGAGCCACGTCTACACGTTTCTTAAATCCCTCCAGGGATGGTGACTCCACCACCTCCCTGGGCAGGCTGTTCCTGGGCCTGACCACTCTTTCAGTAAAGTAATTCTTCCCAATATCTAATCTGAATCTCTCATGACAAGTAAACCATGGGCACTAAGGAGAAACATCGATGCCATTGCTGAGCCACCACCCTGGAGAGAAGGGGCTCCAACTTCCCAGAATCAGCAGTTAAAGAGATGCCAGGATGTCAGTTAAAACTCAGCAGGAGAGGGATGTTTGACTACATCCCCAAATCTCGTTGATGTAACCACACTTACCTCCTGCAAAAGCGAGCACAGCGCAGGCGCCGGGCACTATTATGACTAGGCAGTAATTACATTCACTATAAATACTCCTAAAACATTCCAAATCATACAGTGACTCACCCCAAGGTGCTGTGCCAGGGAGCACCACGCTCCTGAAATGCACGTTTCAGTCAGACCCACTCCTAGAAGCTTTTTCAGAAACTGTATATTCTCTTCCACAGCAAAAAGCTCACCTTCCACAGCAGGGCTAGAGGCAGCGTTGGGAGCAGCAGGAGCAAAGCTGGTTGGGCTGGCATTTACTGCTGAAAGAGGTTTTATGGCTTCTGCTTCTACTTCAGGAATGATTTCTAGCAGTCCAAACTCATTGAAACGGAACTGCAGGTAACAGAAGAAAGCAAGAGAATAAGCAGCAGTAAAAGGGCTAGGAAGGGGGACAGGAAGGAATATAGGATTCCCTGAGGAGCAGTGAGGTGTGGGACAAAAAGAAATGGCTGTACATACCTTAAAAAGCATTAAAAATAAGTAGCAACAAAAGTGAGAAACATCCAACACAACTCATCTTCAAAACACATCAATGCCCCCCCCCAAAACCCCAATGATGTGGGTTTTTTTGTCAATGAAGGAAAACAGCATTAATTCTCCCTGCTTTGGTTGCGCCTCCCTTGTAAAATATGGACCTCTGATAAACCCATCACAATAAATACCCTCAGAAAAGCATTTTGCCTGCTCTGACAGTTCCAATTCATCCAACAAAGCACAATTGCCTTTACTGCAGTTCTGACACACAGCAACTTCCCTAAAATCACCCAGCTGCTGACCAAAAAGGTCACGTTCCTGTGGAGACCTTGTCCCACCGGTCCCCCAGCTGGTGCTGGCTGGGTGTTAGAGACCCCAGAGCCCGGCGACAACTGGGACGGCACAAACCCAACCCTTGTCTGGAGCTGCAAGAGGTTCCCAACCCTCTTTCAATGACACTTGACAGCCTGGTGGGAAAGGAACTTCTCAGAGGAGCAGAGGAACGTGGGGATAAGCAGAGGGAACAGCAGACACTGAGAAATAACCATCCTTTCTTGGTTTGATAAGCTCCTCCTTGCACAGCACCACTTGGTAGTGAAAGCCACAGCAGGGGACCCTGACCCAAAGACACAGTCTTGTCTTCAGGACAAGTCTTCAGGAACCAACTGTTCCTGAATCACCCAGAAATGCACCCAACAGAAGCCCCAGGCAGCAGAGGTGGGCAGGTGACACGTACCAGTATGGCCAGGACTCACAGTGTCCGAGCTCCCAGTCCCAATTCCCCCACAGTTTGACCCTTAAGAAGCCCTCCATCAGCTGCTGGGGTGGGTGATGAACCCAGAGAGGTTCTGCAAGGACATCCATCCTCTGCTCCAACACAGCACCTCCCACCCTGCAGACCCACACACACACACACACCAGGCCAAGAGCAAATTCAGATGGAGAAGGGAACCCCTGGGGACACACAGCGAAGCGCTCACACCGCGGGTGAGCTATGGAAAGGGACTGAGATGGGGCAGATTTCAGACACTCTCACCCTTCAAGCTTAAAAAAATTTCTTAGGCTATGAAAGAACATTTCATTGGTCCAGAGAAAACTGTTGAAGTGTGCCAAATAGTGTCAATGGGCATCTTTTATTAATCCCCAATTGCAAAGGCAACTGAGCACCATCAAAAATAAAAAAAATGTAAAAAAAAATCACATTTCTGATAAGCAAATAGCTCTGAAGATTATTTAATTCTTAATCTTCTTTACTGTCTGCAATACGGAGCTACTGAACTCCAGAATGAAAGAGAGAAGTCAAAGGTGGGTTGCATTTGCAAGCTCTGCTCCGAAGCTTTTATTCACAGCACTTTCTTAGTTTGGGATCTTTCCTCCGCCAGCCGCTCCCCGCTCAAACCTGCCAAACCCAGTTGAAAAGCATTTGCTTCACCTCTGAAGCAGGGCCTCCCCCTCGTTGCACTGAGAAGCACCGTTCCTCCCCTACTCCTGCGTGCTTCCTGGGCTCAGCATCCTGCCTCCAGCTCCCCATCAAAGCATTATCCCAAACATTCTTCCTCCTTTTACCCCTTTTTCATCTGATGTATTTTTCAAAGCTTCAAAGATGCTGGACTTGCTTCTTAAAAAGCTCGGTTCTTCTTCTGCGGCCCTGATGAGACAGAGCATCATTTTTATTTCAGCACAAAGAGAAACAATCCATTTCAAAGAAATGATAATTCTAAGTGGACTGTGTTTCCTGCAGGGGAGCGTCAGGTTTAGAGAAGAAACTTACTGCTTTCCTTCCACACCAGAAGAGCAGATGGGTGCAGACCCTGGGGGTTCCTCATTGTGGCTGGTAAGGACAGCTCAGGGTCACCGGCAGAAGGTCAGTGGAAGGAGCTGGAGAAGGTGTCAGGGTCACAGTGTATTAGCAAAATGTCCCTAGGTGGGGACACTCCTGTGTACAAATCACAGAATCTTCATGGTTGGAAAGGACTCTGAGATCACCCAGTCCAACCACTCACACACAAAAAAACCCCTCACAATCTTGGGCACTAGAGCATGTCCTGAAGTGCCACAGCGACACGTTTCTTAACCACCTCCAGGGATGGTGACTCCACCACCTCCCTGGGCAGGCTGTTCCTGGGCCTGACCACTCTTTCAGTAAAGTAATTCTTCCCAATATCTACTCTAAACCTCCCCTGCCACAACTTCAGACCATTTCCTCTGCTCCTGTCATCATTCCCTTGGGAGAAGAGGCCACCCCCCACCTCTCTACACCCTCCTTTCAGGGAGTTGTAGAGGGCAAGGAGGTCTCCCCTCAGCCTCCTCTTCTCCAAATGAACAGCTCTGCTCCAGCCCCAACCAGTGGAGACACCAGGCTGTTATCACCTCCTTTAATTTCCATGGTGTCTCTACAGCCACAACTGGTGAAGCCCAGCCCCAGAAAACATAAGTTTTAGTTAGAAAACTGATGAGCATCTTTATTAACAACCTCTGATCTCTGAGGACTGGCTGATCCATGGAAACAACCTGCAGTTTCATCCCAAGACTCTCTTCAAGGCAATATCCCTCATTCCTAAGTTCTGGAAACACAAACCCATGGTACTGACAGGACTGCACCTTCCTTTGCACAAGGGGGTTCAATACAGCACGTTCGCCAATATGAAATCCACACAAATCTCCAGAAACAATCAGTCCCTCCTGAGAATTTTTTTTTAAGGGAATTAAGGAAAAACGCATTTCATTGCACAAGCAAGAACTGGAATATAGCGGGAAGAGATGGGGGGGAAGATTAAACAGCAAGAGGAAAAAAAAAAAGAAGTGTTTCTGCAGGGGGGAAAAAAGCGTTTGGCATCTAAAGAATGAAGTGGCTTCCTGTGGAGCTGCTTATCGTGTTCCAGCTAAACATCTCTACCACATTCACTAACCCTGGTACTCAGCTCTTCTATTTGATCATCTAATATGAAATAATGCGATATTATTTGGTGTCTTTCAGTCTAATAAAGAACGTGGTGCTTTGTTGATTCAATACTATTAGGAGGAATCGATAAAAGTGGAGCTGTTCCTCCAAAAGAACTTTACTGTGGTTAAGAGGATACATTGCTGAGCTCTTTTAAGAAGCAGAAGCACAATGGCTTTGATTAAATATAGGACAAAAGTTAGGCCACGGCAAAATAATCACCCAAAGCACCTCCTGGAGGGTCAGTGGACCCAATTCCACACCAGTTTTAGGAGAGTATAAACCACTGATCTCAAAACACTCCACACTGGCAAGTTCATCCACCTTCTCTCAACATCTGCTGGCAGGAGCATTCTCCTGGCAGCCCAAGGAAGGTCTGGCAGCCCGTGTAGAAGACATTTCCCCACAAAGGGAGGAGGAGGAGGGGAGGAAGGGCGAGACTGGCAACACTTGCAGAAGGTGGGGGTCCCGATTCTGAATGCCTGATGAGATACCAACGATCTGATTTTTTTCAAAGCTCTCAAGTCCCTTCAGCTCCAATTTATTTCACTTGAAATTGATTTTTTTCCCCCCTCTGAGATTCAGAACTTGCAGCCTCGAGGGCAATTTTACATATTCATTTTCAACCATCAGAAGTGCAATCGAAGCGAAATAACAGTTGAAGGTAATTTGGGAACCAGTCAACAGACACTCACCCTCCTCTAACAGAGAACACCACGTTTGTGGCCATCACATCTCGGTTCTGATTTACAGGAGAGCTGTACTCGTCACTAACATGAATATGTAAGATAGAAGCTGTCAAAAGCTGCAAAAAAGAACCACTGATGTGAAAAGAACCTACAGACTCAACCCCACAAATTGAGGAAATTTGTCTTTCAGAGAAAAATGTCTTTCTCACGCTGGGCTGAAATTAACGGGATTTTCTTGCCTGAGTATGTTGTATGGACACGACTGAGAATGAGGGAGATCAGGCCCGTAACTTCTATCAGCAGAAAACAATTATTTAAAACACTTGCTGCCTTTAGAAATCAATTGAGCAAGAAATTAGAAGGGGAGAGGGAGCTTTCAGAAACAGTACGAAAATTTCACCACTTCCTCAATAATGCCAACCCCGTTGTTTACAGCAAAGTGTTCTCTCTGCGCAACCTTTGTTTGCAAAATTCAGAATATATTGAAAATATTCTGGGCTGCCAAAGGCATGGTGGCCACTTCTTGGTCTCTTACTTGTATGTTGCTACCAGGCAAGGTGCCAATGCCATCTTTCCAGTCTAAGGCACTCAAGGTATCGTGGTCGGCTGTTGGGAGGCTGATGATTCTGAGACACTCTGTTCCATCTTTCTGCTTAGTCTCGGTCGGCTGTCGGGAGGCTGATGACTCTCTCCAAGACACTCTGTTCCATCTTTCTGCTTAGTCTTTGGGCTCTTTATTTAATTTTAAGAAAGAAAACTAGGGTGTGAAACCAAAACAAAAGGCAGAGAATAAAGAGGCCTGTTGCTTACATGTCACCAAGGGTTTTCCGAGCAATACTAGTTTCAAAAGATGGGAAAAAATTACAAACTTGCATTTGGCCCATGAGACTTCAGTAAATATGAATGGAAAGTTAAGAGCTTTAAGCTTATGTGCAGTTTGAGGACAGTAAGATAAATCAGTAAGTTTTAACAGTTACTTGATTTTATAACATTTTGCCAATGGCAATTCACTGGCAAGACCCTGGGGGCTCTGGATTCAGTAGGCGTTTTGGGTCTGGATATAAGGAATAACCAGGATTTAAAATTACAAATTACAAATACACAGGTATATGCACAAACAACTCCTACACTACACCCAAGTGACAAGTCTGCACAATTTGAGAGGGAGCAGCAGCCTCTAACGGCTGTTGCCAGGTCCCTCTGTAGGGCCATAAAGCCAA